TGCCAGCAAGTCATTCCCACAGCCATCTCAGTCTACCAATCTCTGCACAAACACAGGCTTGTGTCCCTCTAGTCCTGAGCTACTCATGATTCTCCTGGTTGCAAACTGGAACATGTGACTTGACCAAATTCTGAGTTTCACTACCTGCAGCAGGACCAAGTCCAAACTCACTCAAGATAAAGATCATCTTTATCTCAATCTCAGCTTTTCTCGCATCTACTCCTCCCCAGTCTTGCTTGGAGGACACTTCCTTGAGTGTCCTATGGTGGTGTTGTCCCCCATTTCCCAGCCTTTGCGCACTCCTCCCATGCCCAACACTGTATATTTGCTTGCTGACAACTCAGATCTACTGCTGTGCCTTTCAAACAAGTGGGTTAATGTGGAGAGACAGGATGATATCAAGTTGGCCCTGGTCTGGTACATGGAATTAATGCACCATGAAAAAAAAAATCAAGGTGGGGGGCTGGGAAGGTGGCTCAGTGGTAGAGTTCTTGCCTTGCATGCCTGAGGCCCTGGGTTCGGTTCCTCAGCACCACATAAGCAAAAAGAAAAAAGCCAGAAGTGGTGCTGTGGCTCAAGTGGTAGAGCGCTAACCTTGAGCTGAAGAGCTGAGGGACAGCGCTCAGGCCCAGAGTTCAGGCCCCATGACCAGACCCCCCCCAAAAAAAGATAGCAAAAATGAATATTTAATTTTTTAAAAAGTCTAAAATAAAAAGAATCAAGGTGGGCTGGGAATGTGGCTTAGTAGTAGTACTTGCCTAGCATGCATGAAGCCCTGGGTTTGATTCCCCAGTACCACATCAACAGAAAAAGCCAGAAGTGGTGCTGTAGTTCACATGGTAGAGTGCTAACCCTGAGCACAGAGATGCCTAGGGACAGTGCCTAGGCCCTGAGTTCAAGCCCCAGGATTGGCCAAAAAAAAAAAAAAAGCCCAACAACAAGGAGAAGGAATGAAGGTGTGGGGTTGCTTTCTGTGCTCCCTTGTTCTTCCTCTGACTCCGGTCCTCTTATATCACCTTTTCAGAATCAACAAAAGTGTCTGTCCAATTCTTTTCTAGCACCCAGCACTGTGCTAAGTGATTGCATGCTAGAGATTGGTCAGTCCTGCACTCATTCCCTTGGGAGCAGGGAAACTACTTCCAGGGGGCATCTGATTGACTTCAAAAAAAATTTAGGGACAGGCTGGGCTCCAGTGTCTCACGCTTATAATCCTAGCTTCTCAGGAGGCTGAGATCTGAGGATCACAGTTCAAAGCCAGCCCAGGCAGGAAAGTCCGTGAGACTCTCTTCTCCAATGAACCATCAGAAAACCAGAAGTGGTACTGTGGCTCAAGTGATAGAGTGCTAGCCTTGGGCTGAAGAGCTCAGGGACAGCGTCCAAGCCCAGAGTTCAAGCCCCATGACTGACAAAAAAAAATTAGGACTGGGGCATGATGTAAAGGCCTCAAGCCCCAGCAGCCCAAGTGCATGCTGCCTGGGGTGGAGGACTTTAACCAGCCAGAAAACTTTCATCTCCCTGGCTTCCTTTATAGCCCTTAATTACCATCAAGTTTCCACTTGACTCACTGAGGAATTTGAACTCCAATGTGGGTCATCTTCAACTCTGGACTGTCAGAAAGGTAAACTGAGGCATGGTAAAATATTTATTTGCACAAACAATGTTTCATGAATCGGGCCACTCTCAACCCAAGTGATTCAGGGGCTCCACTGAAGGAAACTAAGAGCACTTTGTAGGACCTGTGTAGGTGGGGTGTTTGCTTGGCTACTGTTGTACAGTTGTCCGATTTGGTCTGCTCCATCAGAAAGTCCCTAGTGACATAAGTTGGTCCGCTCCTTCTGATTGAGCTGATACAAAGGACAAGTCCTATTTTTCTTCAGTGTAGACTTTTTTAAGGGGCTGAGGGGCTAGCTCAGTGATAGCATGAATGAGGCCCTAGGTTCAGTCCCCAGTAACTAAGTAAACATATAGACAAACTAGCTCAAGTTGTATAAAGGTGTGAGCCACTTAGGTCACTTACCCTAGACCTCCCTAGGTTTGTCTCCTAAGGACACTGATGACCTGGTCTCCCTTTTCATGGTGCAATAAGTCCCACGTGTAGATCATCCTCTCAACAAAGCTGAGAATTCAAATCATATGGCATGTATGCTGCAGGCACAGCTGGGAGGAAGTCAGGAGACATTATCAGCAGTTCACTGGGGAGGTTATCACCTGCAAGGCCATGCAGTCAACCCTTATCCAGAACCACAAGGTAATCGTTACCCCGAAGAACAAGACCGTTGACTTTTAATCCTGATGGCAATCAAACAATTCCCAGTACCTATCACTGGAAAGTGTCGATTCCTCTGAAAATAGGTAATCCACTAGGGATGTAACCACCATGACTTAAAGGAGAATAATGGGTCAAGAATGTAAAATTCCACTGGGTATTGGTGGCTCACACCTGTAATTCTAGCTACTCCGGAGGCTGAGGTCTGGGGATTCAAGGCCAGCCAGGGCAGGAAAGTCCAGGTGACTCTTATCTCCAATTAACTAGAAGTGGCACTGTGGCTCAAGTGATAGAGAGCTAGCCTTGAGCTGAAGAGCTCAGGGACAGCGCCCAGGCCCAGAGTTCAAGCCCCACAACCAATAAAAGTAAAAGAATGTAAAATTCCTCAGAGCAAAGAATAGCAGGAGAACCAAAGAACCAAGAAATCAGTCAATGGAGGTGGGACTTGTCAGGTGAAAGATTTGCATTAAAGATCCATCAAATGCCATACATTATTTCTAATTATTAACATGGACACTACATATTTTACCAATAAGAGCACAGTATATTCCTTTTTACACAGCTGAGGTAATAAGAACTTCTAAATGAGTACAACTGAGTCTAAGTTGTTCAGTTCAGATTGTATTGCTTGGCAAGAATTCAAGAAATCACTCTACAAAGAAGACAAAAGAAAGCCATTTGGGGTCTCCTTTAAGTCGAAAGGAAGGTTAGATGAGATTTCTAAATGTCCATGGAAGCATCTTTAGATGGTGTAATGAGGACAGCACAGATAGAGGCTCTAGGATTAAAATGCCCAAGCTGGCTCTGAACTGTGATCCTCCAGATACCATGATACTGTCCAGGATACTGAGGACTGATTGTGCTTCATTCTGAAAATCATAGCAAGTGTTCCTGCCCCATATTCCAGATGAGGAAACTGGACATGCAAAACATGAGCTACAGAATCTCAATGATTCACATGTGAGCCAAAAGCCCTTATGTTCCCATTCAAAACTGGCATTGCACAATAATATAGATTCCTAATAGTACCTTACATTTTAATATGTTACTTAGCATAACACTCAAGAGCAGATTCCATGAAAAGTCAGGAAGGAACAAAAAACAATACACTGAAGTAGGCCATAAATACGGAACTTCTCCCTCCCAGTGTTTGAAAAGGTTCCACAGCTGTCCACGATGGCAGGTTGTAAAGTTAACTAAACAAAGAGAGCCTCTATTTTTATTCTTTGCTCAGTCGTGGGGCCTGAACTCTGTCCCTCAGCTCTTCAGCTCAAGGCTAGCGCTCTACCACTTGAGCCACAGTGCCACTTCTGGCTTTTTCTGCTTACGTGGTGCTGAGGAATTGAACCCAGGGCCTCATGCATGTGAGGTAAGCATTCTACCACTGAGCCACTTTCCCAGCCTAGAGCCTGTGCTTTCAGAAGTAGATCCATGAAGGTCCCTATATCCTTCTAAAGAAAAACAACTCACTTGTCTCAGGTTTGATTCTCTTTTATTTCTCCCTTCCCACAACCAGTAAAAAAAAAAAAAAATACAAAACTGATACAAGGATCTCATTTTAAAAATCAGAGTATAATGAAAGCCGCAGCCAATGCCTGGGTTTTAACTTACATATTTACAGACAGGAGGAAGGCAAGATGGCTATGGGGTCACATTTAAATGGCAGCATTACAAATATACAGAGATGCTCTTTCACACAGGAGCCCTGCCTCATTTCTAAATGAGATACTAGGAAACAAATCACACTATTTACTATATAACTTATGAAAACTGCTGTACAGTTGCGTGACTATAAATATGGGGCAGAAACAGATGTGTTTGGGAATTGATATTTACATAGGGGTAGGGTCAGAAGGCTCAGCTGAGCACCCCACCCTGTTCAGATGGTGATGTTGAATGGGGGATGCATGGGATCTTTGGGGTCTAGCTGTCTCCTCCCTGCTTCCTGGGTAAGACTGAGGCTCACCTGCTTGATGGGACAGGCGATGGTTGAGGCTGAGAAATGGTGTGAATGGGATTTTGAAGCCAGGTACCAGTGGTTCACGCCTGTCATCCTACCAACTCAGGAGGCTGAGATTGGAGGATCTAGGTTCAAAGCCAGCCCTGGCAAGGAAAGTCCATGAAACTCCTAATTCCAAGGAATCACCAGAGAAATAGAAGTGGAGCTGTAGCTCAAGTGGTAGAGCACAAAAGCTCAGGGACAGTGCCCAGGTTCTGAGTTCAAGTTCCAGGACTGGCACACACAAAAAAGGAAAAAAAAAACAGGGGGTTCTAGAAAGTACCTGGGATGCGGAGCACATCCCCTTAACCACAGCTACCTGTGCATCCTGCTGAGCTTCACAATCACGGTTCAGTGGCCAGAACCCCATTTCATTCACACCATTTTTCACCCTCAGCCAAGCCCTGGTCTCCTGCTCCTGGGGTGTGTAAAACTTTCTTGGAGAATGCCTTGAGAGCTATCTCCCCAAATGCTCCCCACCCCACAAAGGAGGGCAACAGGGGTGCCAAACAGCCCAGGTGCGGTTCCCATTCCAGAAAGAAACCCAAGGATGCCAGGCAAGGAAACCCTGTGTGGGACTGGGGTGGGGAGCACTGGGAATCAGGTGGGAAGCCCCACACCTTGTCCAGTCTCTCAACACCCAGTTTTCCCTGCTCAGCTGCTCGTGGGGTCAGGCCATCTGATTAAAGCGCTACCTGGGCTTTATCACAAGGAAAGAGAGCTTTGTACATATATATACACCAACTGTTACAGAGGGCCTTGGAGAACCTTCTTTAATCCCTTGGTCTGGGCCTTTCTCTTCTAAGGAAGATGCTGGAAGTTTAACCACAGATCTAGAGTGTCCTGGGGAGTGGACTTGGTCATCAGTCTGGCTGGGTTTGTGTTCTAATTCTCCCTACACCTTCTGGGAGAGAAAGAGCAAGGGAGCGAGCGGTTGGGATGAGGCTGACCTACATACAAGCTGTCGTGCTGGGCCAGGGGAAAGACAATGAAAGTGGATGTCACCCCTGCTTCCTCGCCCCTCAGCCGGCCTAGAAGGCAGTGCTGATGGTAATGGTTTTCATGTCCAGCGTTTCCACTTGGGCCTTGTCCTCGTCCAGGACCTCTCTGCTCATGGCTAAGTTGTCAAAGGCTTCGGGAGCCTTGACGGGGACTGCCTGGTCCTCGGGCCCCTCCTCCAGGTCCTCACAGCACTTGCTGCAGCGGCAGCACTTGTTGCAGCCGCACACCATGCAGCACACGCGGCAGCACACGCGGCAGCAGCAGCAGCAGCGCCTCTGGAAGCAGGTGGTGGCCAGGGAGATGTAGCGGTCCCAGGGCTTCAGCGAGTGCATCCAATCGGGCAGGAAGTTCCAGTCCCGGAGCCTGAGCGGCAGGATGCGCGGGCAGCGGGACTGCAGCATGCGGAGGCAGACCACCAGCAGGATCAGCAGGACGATGGGCACGCCCACCCCCACCAGCACCGGCCAGCCAGCCAGGGACAGGCCGAACACCGCCAGCGGGGTCAGGAAGAAGAAGAAGATCAAGTAGAAGATGGCAAACCAGCGGTACTTGGCAGAGATGTTACCCAGGCCCTTGGCCAGGCGGATGGGCAGGCGGGTGAATGGGATCGGGTACCACAGCAAGATGCCGGAGATGTTGAAGAAAAAGTGGCACAGGGCGATCTGAAACACAGGAGGTTGGAGTTTTAGCACTATTTCATTGGTTGTTGTTTGTTCACTTCTTTCTAGGCTCCCAATAGCAGGCCACCACAGAACAGAAGCAGCCCCGGGGACCACTGTAGCAAGCACTTTAGGAGAGATACTGAGTGACGGACACTCGTAAGGGATGAACAAGAGATCTAGTCCCCTATGCCCCCTAAGGTAAGGGAGACCACGAAGTAGGGCTCAACCCAGGTCATCCTGTACTTGTCTACTTTCCATGGGCATCACCAGTCACCAGGTGTGGACCAGCTTTGTCATATATATTAGCTTCTAGCCACAAGATTGTTGAATACAACACTGATTGCCAACTTTTATATTAATTACATGTCAAGGTGATAATGGGTTGTATCAAATGCATTATCAAAATAAATCTCATGGCTTTTTTCTTCTTAAAAATGGCCAGGCACCAATGGCTCACACTAGTAATCCTACCTACTAGAATCTGATGATCACGGTTCAAAGCCAGCCCAGGCAGGGAAGTCTGTGACACTCTTATCTCCAATTAGTCAAGAGGAGAGTCTTTGAGGACTTACACTCTAAGCTTCTGTTCTATCTCCCTGTGGCTTCTCTTAGTCCCATCTTTTGGACATAACATGGAAAGCCATGGATTTCACAAGACCATGGATGGGCTTGTATCTACCCTACCCACAGAACCCCAGCCCTGTGTCACAGGTCCTGACCTGGAGTGAACTCTTCAGTGTGTTGCCTGGGCTGGCTAAGGCAGCCAGGATGGCAGTGGTGGTGGTGCCGATGTTGGAGCCCAGCGTGAGTGGATAAGCCCGCTCAATGGTTATCACCCCAATACCTGAGGAGAAAAAACACAGGCAGGTGAGCATGCGCCACTGGCATGAGGGATGTCAGGACACAGCAGTGGTGGTGGGAGAGAGAAGCCAGGAGGAGCTCACCGATCAGTGGAGTCAGAGCAGACGTGAACACGGAGCTGCTCTGTACAATGAAGGTCATGCCTGCTCCCACGAGGATGGCCAGGTAGCCAGTCACCCATGCGAAGGGAAAGGGGAAATCTGGATGATAGAAGAGGAAAAAAAAAAGGAAATTTCATATTATTCAGGAATGCAAACAGCTCCTGAGAAGAAGTCCAGTCATATACATAGAAAAAAACCTACAAGAGACATAGCCCAACTCCTGGCTGTCTAGAGTTGATCTGGCTTAGAGCTGATCTGGCTTTCTTTTCTCGGGGCTTTGCCATCCTGCAATGGAAGCTGATGCCTCCTCCTACAGCCCACTCAGCACCCCCCGGACATTCCCCCAGCTTATCAGATCCAAGAAAGAAACACTATGGCTCAGAGGCCATTCAAAAGGAGGCCCAAAGAAGCCCCTCTGGGTTGTGCAGCACAGGTGGGAAGTGCACCTACCAGTGTTGAGGGTCTTCTTGATGACCACAGCCACCTGCCCTTTGAGCACAGAGCCCAGGAGCTTGACGATCATGATCAGGCAGCCACAGAGGACCAGCAGGGAGATGGAGAGCAGGATGATGCCCACAGCAAGATCAGGGAGGTTGGAATTCACGAAGATGTGCTGGCCTAGAGACACAGAGAGTCTAACTAGGAGGTGGTGGGGGATGTCCCAGCTAAAAATTCTTCCTGGCTTAAATCAGGGTCTTTTTTTTAGTATCTAGACTTACGGCAGCTCAGAATATGACCCTTCCCACACTCCTTTGCAGTGGAGAAGGCCACAGACTCTTGGCCTCATTGGGTGCCTTGCATGGGGCCTGCTATATACAGGACTCTCGGTGAATATGTGTCCTATGGGCCCACTCCAACTTTCATTACTCCAGAGACATTGACGAAGGGGTGCCCTCCTTTGGGGCACTGTATTGGTCACCTCAGTCCTAATCCTTAGCAACCTCTGCTTTGAAAGCAGATTATTCTAGGCCTGGTGTGGGGCAGGGCCTCAGTGCCTCCTGTCCTTCAATCCAGAGGCCCCACACATACGTATAAGCCATGCCCATCTTACACCCTCTCTCCTGTCCTGGAGACCAGCTGGCTCAGTGCCACTCACATTTGGCAATGTTCTCCTTTTGAGTCACATTCTTGATGGTCCAGGTGTGGATGCCATCCGTCCAACAGAGGGACGCAGAAGTGCAGTTGACTGGTGAGGGGACAGTGACATTCATCTCCGTCTAAACAACAAACATGAGAAATGTCCGTGACACCCACTTCTGGTAGAGAAAGGTCAGCAATGGGGGGAGAAGGGAAAGCCCTGGGCACACAATGAGACTTTCTCATTGAGTCTCTTTCACATCTGGAGACTGGATTGTTCGTCTTCATTGGGAAAGTTCTTGGACCAACTAGGACCAGCTGGTGTTGTGTGTGTGTGTGTGTGTGTGTGTGTGTGTGTGTGTTTCTAGTTTGGGGCACATAAGGAAAAGAAACATGAACATATGTACACCCTGGAATCAAGGAGAAGCCAAAACTCTACTGCATGGCAAAGAGAAGAAAGGATATTCTAGAAGAGTCTGGAAAGTAAGAGATTCTTCCTGGTCCCAGCACCTATAACGGTGCAACAAACCCTTGCAAAACCAGAGCAGAGAGACAGACAAGGATAAATAAACCTTCTCCAGGCAACAGGAACAGAAGAACAAGTCAGTTGTCTCTGTGGCCTAGGATAAGGCAAAGATGGCTGCTGGTCCCACTGCCCAAGCCCTCTACCATATTTCTGTAAGAACTTGGTTGCCAAGATTCACCAGCCCAGGGGCTGCGAAGGTGGCTCAGTGGTAGAGCGCTTGCCATGCATGCATGAGGCCCTGTGTTCGATTCCTCAGCACCACATAACCAGAAGAAAAAAAAGCCGGGAGTGGCGCTGTGGCTTCTTAAGCGGTAGAGTGCTAGCCTTGAGCTGAAGGACAGCACCCAGGCCCAGAGTTCAGGCCCATGATGACCAGACCAAAAACAAAAAACAAAAAAACTAAAGATTCACCAGCCCAGTAACATTTCTGAAAAGCTTACCACGTTGGTCAACGTTTTACACCAAATCTTGATCAGACTCTTGTTTTGGGCTGAAGGATCATTCATTGCAATTTGGTGGATGACATTTTTATCCAGCTGGGGAAGACAATGGGTAGCAAGTCAGCATGCATGGCCTCCAAACTGGATTAGGACGGAGGTGGAAGGGGGTGGCTAGGACCTCTGAGAGGAGCCTGAGCTCGATTCGCCTTGGGACTCACAAGTCAAATGTGCCCTCCTTCCCTCAGTCCCTTCAGTGTAGGCCCCAGATATTAGCAGAGAGGCTCAAGAGATGAAGGGTTTTATGACAAGGACACTGGTATGGACCTCACTGGCTGAGTGACAGAGAAAACTGGAAGGTAATATTGAAAGCTCAGATCCCTTCTGTCTCTTTCTCCCTCTCTTTCTCTCCAGGGCAACATTTCTAATGGCTTTCATTTTGATATGGCCAAGAGATGGCTCCTGGCTGAAAGGGCAATAATCACTGTCCTTTGCTAGGTATTAGATAAGACGATCAGTGAGCCCAGAAAAAGTGGTCTCAAGTGTCTCGTCAAGCATGGACTCATCATACCTCGCCCCAGGCTGAAAAGCCACAGATGGAAGCCAAGGCAGAGAACACTACCAAGTGTCCCTGAACTTCTGCCTCCCTTGGCCTTTGTCAGAGGCTACCCCCCCAGCAATCCAGACGCTCATCTCTCCAGAGTCAGTGGAGATGGCACAGGGCAGGCGGACAGTCATCCTGGTCAATGGCTACCTGGATGATGAGCTTTGTGAAGGGATCTGTGATGACTTTCAGAAGGGCGGGGGCATCTTCTCCATTCTTGAAGTTGAAGGACTCCACCACCAGGTTGGTTAGGAGCTCCAGGTAGTGGGTGATGGCCTCCAAAGGCAGAAGCACCAACACGGACAGCCAGTTGAAGAAGTCGTGGACAGTGGCCCCTGCGAAGGCCCTGGGAAAGGGAAACCCCAACAGCTAGATCAGCCAGTGCACAAGTGAGCATCACTGAGCTACATGCACACAGGTGTGCAGTGGGGGGGGGGGTGCGGCATGGGCCCTGTGAGCACACTCAGCAGGTTGAGGCTGGAATGCTCCTCCCCCTCCAGCTACTCCCTGAAGAATTATAACAAGGTTACTTTCAATTGTGTGTACTCTGAGTGCTACCTGCCCTTGGAGAGGAGGAGATCAGGTAATAAATAGTAGGCACTAAATAGTCAAATTCCTCTACACCAGGGAATTCTTTAACTATTAAAAACATAAACCCGGTACTGGTGGCTCATGCCTGTTATCCTTTAGCTATTCAGGATCTAAGGATCATGGTTCAAAGCTAGCCTAGAAGGCTGAGATCTTGAGGATTGAGGTTCAAAGCCAGTTCTAGTAGTAAAGTCTGTGAGTCTCTTATCACCAATAAACCACTCAGAACCGTAGATTTTCTCACTAGTAGATAGCACACTTTATGAGCAATCATGGAATTCTGGGTTTGAGCCCTAGTACCACCAAAAATGAAAAAAAAAGTTGCTGTTTGGAGCTATATCTGAGGGTATTCAGAGATGCTCAACCCTGTCCGGTCGCCAGGTGAAGAAATCCGGCTCTAGGTTCTTCCCCTGATACACAGATATATTGACATAGCAGAAACCCCTTAAAACCAAATGGTTTGGGGGCCAGAGAGAGATAGTAGCAACTAATTTTTTAAAAAGTAGAGAAAACACTTCGGTAGGAAAAGAAATGCATTGAGAGTGCAAATTTTCATTATTAGCTGGTGTTTCTTAAAAATACTGTAAACAACCCCCCCACTCATCCCCTTTTCAATAAAAAGTAAAAAAAATATATTGTTATTCTTCCTGAGCGGGGTGACTTAAGACACTCATGCAAAGCTGCCATAGAACTATTCTTTACTTCCTAGTCGTTTCCTAAGCAACACATACCCGTATGATGCAGTCATCATTATTCTAGAAATATAAGGAATAATAATCCAAAGCCCTACAGGAAAGATACAGGAAACACTGAAACATCCCACATAGGGTGAGCTAAACAAACTGCAGTCCTCCCTGGCTATGTCCCCCAGGCTTTCCTGAGGCAAAGAAGGCAATCCATCTAAGAGTTATGAGAACCCCAAATCTGGAATGCAAATGCCTATCTGCAAGCCCTCAATGATGAGGTCACTTGTCTCCTTGAGTTTCAACATGGGTAAATTGGGGTGTAGGAAAGCCTACGTGGCTTCATGAGAATCAAATGAAGAGAACGCCCTGTTTAATGTGTACTGTTGTGGCCATCGGGACATTTCATCAGGGACCAAATGAATGGCTGATGCTGTCTGCTAACTACAAATTCACCAGCAGACAGCTGACGTCTCTGTCTGTCCCAAACCACACCATCACATCACTTTGACACACTGGGGGACACTTCTAGAAACTCTCCCAAGGATTAGAAGAGAACCCAGGAGTTCCGCTTCATTTTTACATTAACTTTTCTCTCTCTCTTTTTTTAAGAAGGATTCACACCACCTGGCTATATATTCCACCTGCTCTATTTTGAGGTCTTCTATGGCCACAAAACTCTCTATTTGTTCTTTCATTGGCAGGCAAATGAAAAACAAAGAAAAAGTGGCACTGTTGCTCTTGGCCAAAAATAAATGTTTTAGGAAGTTATAATTATTTATGATTCATTGAGACATCAACTCATACCACCCAGCAGCTAGAGTCTAGCTGGAACTTGCCTTGTGTGAGGTGGACAGGGTGCCAGGCATTTTGCTAAATACCCACCTGCCTGCCTGGGTTTAATCCTTAAGATAACACAATGGTGATAGATACTGTTATTATCCTGCCCCTGCAGACTGGGAATCAGAGCTCTCGGCTTGGAGTCCATCCCTGCTGGACTCCCTGAGGTTTCCACAGAAGTTCTAGTTTAGGAGCCCTAAACCAAGATGGTCACTGGGGCAGGCTGACCCCCACCCCTCAAGATCTCTCAGTTGCCAAGGAGATGTTGGTTCTGAATGTCCTACCTTCTGAACTCACTCCGGTCTCCTGCCTGCATGAGCGCCACAATGGTGTTGGTGATGGATGTCCCAATGTTGGCTCCCATGATGATGGGGATGGCGGCCCGCACGGTCAGCACTGAGCGGGTGGAGAAGAGCCAGTGACAAGTTTAAGAAGGGAGCCTGTCTCGGGCTGAGTTCACCCACACTGCAGTCCTCTGAAGCAGCTGCTCTGAGCCTCCTTAGAGGTTAAATTGGCTCAACATAGAAATCTGAACGTGTCCTCTCAGTTTGGAGGTACCTATACAAGTCCCCCAGGGCTCCTCCTACAGACTGACCCCAATGCCTTTATTCCTCCCTGCTCCCTGTTAGGGGATGTAAGGCCAGCTTATAGGAGACCTAGAGCCAGCCAGTGTTTGGGGACGCAGGTCAGATGTACATAGCATCAAGGCTCATATTAACATGCGTCATCCACCTGCTAGACATCAAACACTTGCACATTTATGAGACCAATTCCTGGCAGGAAATGGCTAACAAAAAAAATCTCTGCATTGCTGCAGTTTTGATATACAAGAGTAACATGCTTGGCTCAAGCCTGTAATCCTAGGTACTCAGGAGGCTGAGCTCATGAGGATGCAGAAAAGCCCATGATATTCTCATTACCAATTACCAGCAAAAAGCCAGAAGGGAACTTCTGGCTCCACAAGATTTTGACCTAACCAACCCAAATATCAAGCAGCAAGGAGTTTGAACACTACCAGCTCCAGTTACCCCAACACCCATATGTGTGATATGATTAGACATCTTCCACTGAAAGCCCTGATAGGTGAAGTTCCAAGGAAGCGCTCTAATCGATGGAAGTGATCTGTATTGGTGTTGTTCTGGGGCAATGGAGGAACTTTAATCAATTACAGATCAGTGAAATAAAACAGCCACTTTGTGGCTTGTGGCTGCTGGGCTGGGCAGGGCACTATTGATCTAAAGAATTCATCAGGGTCATAAAACATCAGGATTCTTTTCAGACCCAGCCATCCACTTGGAACCAACAATGGATTGTTTCCCAGATGGACCAGATGGGCAGACCAAGGAAGTCTGGCCTGATAGGTCCAGAGAAGGTTTCAGGCTTTCAGGGAAGAGAGGTGCTTGGAGCAATTCCCGGGGGACCCAGACTCACATGAGGAGGACACCATGCTGACAATGATGGACGAAGAGGTGCTGGAGCTCTGTACCATGACTGTCACCAGCACCCCAATTACCAGTCCTGCCACGGGGTTGGACATGATGGAGTTGTTGCTAAAGAACTGCCCAGCCATCTTTCCTGAAAGACAAATCAATGGCCCGTGTTGAGGCCGGGGAGTGAGGGGAGAAGGGCAAGCCCTGGGCACACAATGAGACTTTCTCATTGAGTCCCTTTCACATCTGGAGACTGGATTGTTCATCTTCATTGGGAAAGTTCTTGGACAAGGGGTCCAGACCACTTTCCAAAGCCAGCTGGTTGTGGGGAAGGAGCCCAGCGACTAGCCCTGCTTCTGTCTCCCCTCCACTGCCTTGATGAGCAGAGACTGTCCATGTGGGCCTCCTGCTTCCTTTTATATCTTCACCCTTCAGCTCCTCCTCTTTCCCCGTCTAACCAGAAAGCCCTTTGCTGGCCTCTGATCTGAGCAGGTCTTATTCTTCGCTATCCACTCCTAGCTCCAGGCTGGCTTTGGTTCTAGCTTTGGCCTATGACAATATTCTTGTTTTTTGTTTTGTTTTGTTTTGGATCTGGTCGTGGGGCCTGAACTCTAGGCCTGGGCGCTGTCCCTCAGCTCTTCAGCTCAGGGCTAGCGCTCTACCACTTGAGCCACAGCGCCACTTCCGGCTTTTTTCTTTTTGCTTATGTGGTGCTGGGGAATCGAACCCAGGGCCTCAGGCATG